GTCTCCCAAAACACGGCCAACACGACTGGGCGTCGCCAGAAATCTAACTTTGAAGGCTGATTTCGAGGTGAAAAAAATTCGAAATCGAAAAATTTTTTTTGGAATATTTATTTATATCATCTAGAGATGCCAAAACCGTAAAAAAATTCTAGACCTGATATACACTTTAAGTTAGGGAGGTTCAATATGATAGCTGGAACATCCATTTGTGAAATAGCATTTACACTAAAAGAGAGACTTGTATAGATGTGTCTTTTTGATAGGCTTTCGAAATCCAGTACTGCCTTGCAAATCTTTGCAAATCTGTACTAGTGAAGGGTACCAAGTAATTGAGAGTGAAGTAGGAGTTATAAATAATGATTGAATCAAATCCTCTCCTTCGAACATTCTTATACTCTGAGTTTAAACATCCACTGGGCCATTGTTGTACAAGAGAAAAAAGAATCAGAGTCCAGTTTGCCAAGAAGCATGATACCATATTATGGCACAACCACAGTGAAGCTTAATTGAAAGTTTAAAAGTTAGCCACACAGTTACTGAAGTGGTACTTTGAGCATGACTCAGATAAGTGACAGCTAAAAACAATTTTGCCAGTCATAATCACTTATCTTGGTCATTTATGCTTGATCGGTTAAAACTTTTATGCAACATTATGCATTCACACATTGGCTAAAGTCAAAACACACCATTTAAAAACCATTAAAACTACTGCTTGAAAACCACGAATTGTCAAGGCTAGTTACAATCACGTTGTAAATACTACCAAATGCCTTACTGTATTTAAATTATAAGCCCTCTTGACTGTTTAATTATTTCTGAGGTATGTTTAAAGATGGATATTTTAGTTTTCATATGCTTATTTTATTTTCAAACAATAATTAAATATTTAAAAAGACAGCTCATACATTTCCAACATGATTGCAATGATTAACATAAATATTAAATATTGGCCTAATAGACCCTCTAAATTATTTTGCAAGACAAGAAGTAATATTCAAAAGAAATGCTAGAAATTCTATCGATTAAAGTTGTGGCTTATTTCGTATTATCATGTCAACTTCTAAAACTAATTAATAATCAAACAGAATAAAGAAAAGAAATAAGCTTAAACAAACAAAAAAATCACTAGCGTGAAGAAGGTTTGAAAAACAAAGAAAATTACTAGCGTGAAGGTTTGAAAATGTGTCTATAATTACCATAAACTTCGACTACTAATGCTTTGAATTTGTTTAAGAATTATCAATAGTTTTAGAAGCCACATCAAGCACTGATAAAATACTTGATAAGCTTATTTTTGTATGACTCGATGGATTGGAGGATTCGATTGGAGAAATCAAGGTTTATGAGCCTATTACTCAGTGTTGAATAATAAAAGCAAAGCAGAAATCTAATGAGTGTTCAATAATATGTTTCTAAAATGCCCTTGATAGCTTGGCTTGAAGCGTGAGAAATTAAAAAGGATCCCTTGCCTTAATATCCGTAAAAAGAACTAGACGTTCTTGTATATTTTGGACACTTTTGTCTAGCAAGTAAGAGCTTGTTAGATAATTTTTCTTATCTTGCTTTGTCATCGGCACGAAACAAAATGATTCCTTTCCTCGGTTTCTGGCTTTCATGTGAGTATTACAGACATCCCAGCCACTTTTTAGACAAATTTGATAGGAAATATAGGCTGTGCAAGTTCTAAATATAGGAAAATATAGGATTTTTTCCCAAAAATATATGCACTTTATAGGAGCTAAAATAGCTTTTCGGTGGCGTAACCAGGGATCGGGAGGGTGCACAGGCAATGATTTGCAGAACTAAAAAGCCATAAAAACAACAAAAAAAAAAACACCAGAATTAAAAAAAAAAAGGGGGCTATTTATTTCCTTCGCCAAATATGCTAAACAGTGTATAATATAAATGAGTCACTCAGAAGTTGTCCTATTTATAGGAAATATAGGAGGTTTTCTTTAAATATAGGCTCTTTATAGGATCCTATACAAATTATAGGAAATATAGGATATATAGGAGGTCTGGGATGCCTGGTATTAAAGCAACACACTATAGACCTTACCTTATTTCTCTGAGGGATTTTGCTTGGTTTGATCGAAGCACGAACTTCGTACTTGAAAATGCCATGTGTTTGCCGCCATTTTCTCCTAAAACAGAATCTTAAATAAATCAACTACGACTACACTATAACGGTTTCTACGGGTTATATGCTTAGTAAGTATACTTCGTTATCTGATGTAAACTTCAAATACCTCTATTTCAAAGACTCCAAACAACAACTTTCGACCAAAAGCCAACGCTGAAACCAACACCCAAAATCAACTCCATACCGGAGTGCATCAGATCGAGCACGTCTTTGTTTGTATAATCACACCAGCAAAGCATCATGGCATGGTACCACAGGTAGACCAATCAACTTTTGTAGCGATCAAGTATGCCTTTGGTTCTTTGGTGGAAAGCACAACGAGGTGCACATTGAATATTTTTCTATATTGCTATTCTATAAAATAAATTTTAAAAGCTTGCAGAATCAATTCAGTCTGATTAAAAACCTACCAGCTGGTCCTTGTTGATCATTGTTGGAATGGATGAATGATTCCTGAATCAAACAAAAAGTTAAACAATGCCATTTCACGACATCTTTTTTAATTCAAATTTACCAAGTTTCATGAAAACAAAAGAGATTTTTCTTTCAAAAGCTGACAAAGCTCTGTCGAAAGGTACAAGAGTATCAAAGGTAAATTTCATTAACACCGAAATTTGTTTGTTTATTCATTCAGTGTTACACAACACGAACCGGCCAGATTGGGGTTTTCTAACTTTTTGTTCTAATAAAATGTTTTGCTCTTTTGAATTTGTTTGGAATAATATAAGTCTTGTTTCTGTTTGACTCAGTGTTCTTCGATTTCACGTTACGTCATCGCGACTATGTTGGTACCACTTAACAAAAGATTTCTCATTAGCATCCATTGTTAACGGTATCACAATGGGCGCCAGGTTTTTTTCTTTTAAATCTCTTGGGAATGCCTGCAAAGACCCATCAATTTCAAATGACGAAACATGCAGGCTACGAGCATGGACGACCTTTGTTTATCACACTTGAGTTAACTCTTTTGTATTAGAAAGAAAAACATATGCAGTGTGGAGTCCATGTTGTGTTTGCGGCTAAGGGACAAGTATAATTTTAATATGATAGAATAATGGACCATTTGATAATTGAGAGGGACTTGCAGGAATTTATGATGCGAGATTATTATTTTTTTCGCAAACCCCTGCACGCAATTTGTTTTTGTGTTTGCGATTTTTTTTGTGATTGAAGTACGCACTTGCTGGATTTTGGGGGGGGGGGGGGGGTACGCATCCCCACCTCAGTTATGGTCTGTCCTTATTAAACTGGGGATTAACTTCAACAGTATTAGTTGATTCTATCT